CAGGACGCTTAGAACCGGTAATAAATTATTATCACTACAAAATTATTATTACTACAATTATTGACAGAATACTATCTGAATGGAATATGGAGATTTACACTTTTCTATATTAACAAAAAATTGCATATTTCTTTAAATAGGCTACACATTGCCCTTTTTCTTTGATTCTCAAAAATTACTTCCGTAACGATATTTTTTGTTATGTAGGAAAACTTCAACTAAACGTAGTCGAGTCGATCGTCACTCTAGATAAATAATAACTACAATATTTGTTACTTTTAACTATGCGAGATTCATAAATTTCAGAATCGGGATTCTTTTTAATCGTATTTGAGTTCTTTCACAGAACAGATTATAAACATATTACGAAGTTAAACATGCAATGATTTGTTTTAAATCCAGTGCTGTACCTTTCATCGTATGATAACTTCAACAAAAACAACAGATAAGAATATGAACCTATATAAACATTCGCAGTCCAACGAGAGGAATAACGAACACAATAAGTAGTCTGCGGATTTAAACTAATATGAAACTAAATGACAATTTTCTGTTATTTTCAATCTAATAGAATTCTCGATATAAGCCGTTTATAATCTTATCGTACATGAGGAAGCAAAATATGTATATTACCATTATTATTCTAAGTAATATTTATATTAAGCAGTAATTAATGGTAATGTATAAAAGTGTATATTAAGTAATAATAGTAAAATAAAAAAGCACTATTCAATAGATTCGGCACATTTACGTTTGTGTTCTATGAATGCATGCCAATTATTATATTCGTCCTGTGAAAGGTACCAAAAGTATTATAAAGACTTTTCTATAAAGGTTTGTTTTATTTACTATGTTCGTAAGTTAATTTAATACTTGATGTGTATATTCCTATTATTAATTAACACTAACCGTACCGATCGCCGGTCAAATGACCGGTTTTAAATGCGGTACAAATAGGTGTATAAAAGTCTCGGTACGGTCAATGTTAACAAACTACATAATACTGTTCTGTGTACCTATGATAAAATTGTAGGCACGGTGCAATGTGCAGAGATCTGATAACATTGAAAATACAATGAAAATTTTACAAAAATTCTAATCAACTCAGAACTCAAACATTTGAATCCACAACTGATGAATACATGTAAAAAGAAAATTCTTTTTGAAAACAATTTCCGGAACTAAAAGAATCCATTCATATGATGAATTATTAAGTATCTATACGATTATACATATTACGCTTCATTTTACTGTCATTTCTCGAAATTTCTGTAAATTCTGGTAAATTATGTCGCAAGATAAGATCGAGTCCAATTAATTTGCACGCATTTCTAAACAAACCACAAAGTACGTGTTATAATAGTTTCGTCAAAATGAAGTTTCTCAGGATGCAAACTATGTAACTTCAATGTTTTTTACACTTGTACTATTGCCGACCAAGGGAAACAAAAATATCGATGTTATGCAACACGAATGTGACTGGTAACAGTACGTTTCTGACCACGTGTATGCTGTATACTAAACTTCCGAAGGGTAACCGTAACCGCCCGAAAGAAGTCAACCCAAAATGACGCGTGAATGCGTCGATTACATCCCACACGCGTATGTATTTCGCTCTGTGGGACTTGGAACGCATCGAATTTCAGAAGCTTCGTGGGCGTGTCCCACTGACATTCCGACCGCGGGTCTGTCTTTTAACCTATTGAGCTTCGGAGTGCCTGGTGTATTACATACTCGAATAACCCACGAACCCCTTTTTAACGCGGCTGTCCTTGTTTCCACTTGTTTACGGCGATTACAGGAAGTCACGCCTATACAGGGAACGCGTAGGCAGCTCGCACGAATACCAGAGAATCGTTTCGAGATCGAAAGATCGACGCCAGCAATAAAGACCCGGAATAAGCGTCAGATCCCGACGTTGAATGTGACTCGCGACGATCATCGTGCGTTGTCATTTTTCTTCTCTTCCTGCACGATCGCGCCTTTGTTTTCGAGCATCGGAATGAATTTTACTCTAGACTCTAGGCTATCGGGATTGATTTGATTCGTGTGGCTGCATACATATTCCGATATGCGTATCATTGGCTCGTGTTTTTTACTACGTTCTGATATACAATAAACTATCTCTGCTATTACTTTCCCACCCCCACCCTCCTTTTTTATCTGTACCAGTGCATTTGCATTAATGATACATTCTGATGGACTCAATTGGTCTACCAGTGAAGGATGTGTTTATACGCATTTATCGTTATACGTAGATATTTTAAATGACCAATTTACGAGGGTAGAAGGTAAACGAAAATTTATGAATGATGTTAATAGTTGCACTATGTCGAGAATCATATCGAAGCTTGTTTGAACTTCAATTAAATTTCTTGCGTCGCGTTCGACAAAAGCACGCTACCGATGATGACTAGTGTCATTTGTAGTGACGATCTTTCGTGAGACTGCCTACATGGCTCTTTGGACACTTTAACACTAAATCTACCAAAGCTGTAAAAATGACTGGTTCGTAAACTCTTCTAATAATAATTAAAATGTTATAAAAATGAATTTCCTAGAATTTTGTGATTATATTCCAATTAAGATATTTTCAATAAACTGTTCCTTTTCCAGAAGCAATGGAAATTGAAACAAAATTCATCTTCGGTAATTCTAATATTAATACGGAACGTCGACCTCTAAGTATTGTTGGATAGATTAAATGTTTCCAAGTTTATCAGCATAAAAAGGCTCACCTTCGATAAATGTCCTTGTTGTATAAGAATTCTTTCTATAGTCTATTAATTTTTCAGGGGGTGACAAGTGGATCGAAAATTTTGGACATGCATTAATGTCGACAACATTTCTATATTCTTTTTAATGCAGTACAATTCCTCAAATGAACCACACCTTTTTAAATCATATGTGACGGTAGCATTTAAATTAAAGACTTGCATAAACAGCGCCAGCCTAATCATAAGTTTACAAGTTATCTGACATTTGGAACTCTGCCTATAGGGAAGCTACTGACTACAAACTTACTTACACATAAATAAACTGCAAATTGTATACATTTGTGAAATACGCAGATATATATGTATATCCCTATGAAGTAAAAAGATTTAATCAACACTAGGGAAATGTTTGTTTTTCTTTTAACTGAGAAGTCTCATAACTGACAGAATAAATGTTTTCCAGCGTCTGATTTTCCGAAAATATTTTACGAATATAAGAAATTTACATAAACATCCGTAAGTCACCTACTCAATAACTGCAAAGTTCGAAGACAGAATGTTCACAGTACGAAAGCTAATAACATCGAGCCTGAGGTATCATTATAAATAACAAATTTATAAAGCCAGCTTTCTTTTCAGAGATCGACTTAAATCAAAGTTATTTGATGCTCGCAGAACCAATCAAACATCTCCTCAAAAACCTTTCCAAGAATCTCGAACTTACGATGGAAAAAACAACAACTAAAATCAGAGGTCGCAACAGCAACCCTTCGAAACTGTAATATCCCGAAAGAAGATTAAAGTCACAGATAATAAGATCGCATACCTGATCGGGTAGGAATGCGAAAGGATCGAAGAACTTGAGAACACTTGCACAACCGGAAACAATACGTTCCATGATCACGGAGAAAAATAACTTCACTTTTAAATGAAACCGAAAAACTTCATACGACTTGGCTACGAGATTACTACAATTTATACGGAATTACTTCACTCCGCTCCAATACTACGGCAATCTACACGAAATTACTCCACTCTGTTTGATTGGTAGTCCCATGCTTAATCAGAATAGATCGGAAAAAAAGAACTAAAACATGATTGTGCGGATGAAGCAAACGTAGGAAACGGTCGAACACCACTTACTTATCGTTATCGTTTCTGAAAAGATAGTGGCCAAGTCACGATATTTATGATGACCGCAAAGTACTATAAAGCAGCAAATTTTGCGAGTGCTCTTCTCGCGCGTCACACGTTTCCGTACGATATCAATTAGTGCATTGGAATTGGAATATGCCACGGAACACTAAGCCTAGCAAAATTTTCTACTTGACCACTTTTATAATTTTATTAGTTTATTCCATACGAAATCTACACACTGACCGTTTGTAATAATTTTTGTTTTACGTTGAACGGTTAGTATGAACAGTCTTGTAAAACAAAAACAAATTATGAGAAGGAATCAATTGGTCCGAATAAAATCATTGCACTAACGCGAACCTCGACGTATCTCCCTTTAAAAACGTGTTTCAAGGTATCCGATAATTCGCAGCACGTTCCACGATTGTCGATTCGACATCGATAACAAATAGGAAAATTGAAAGAACGATCTTCGAAATAATTTTCTGAGCGCCGTTCGTAGGAATTAAAGTGGATGGATGAAGGGGACCGCGCGCGAAGAAACTAGAAATTAACGACACGTGGCTAATCGTCCCGTGCGTTTCTAACATATGAGCGCGACCGGCACACGTCCGTTGCCCGCTTGGCGATTTCGAATCCGTTCCACGGTAAAGCGCGTCTCATATTCTTTTTTTCTTATGGTCACGATGGTAACGGAGTAAACTAACGAACATGCGTCGATCCAATTCCGTCTCTCCCGAAAAACGATTCTATGTATCGTAAGGAATCGCAATACGGAGCAACGTTGGGTAAAAACGTTCGCGTTCGAAAGAATCGGTGGCGTACGGCTACATGGAATGAAAGCCAGATGAACAGCGTGGGGATGAATTATCGAGAAGAATCTCATAAACGTCGAAAGAGAGGGAGAAAAAATATGTGGGAAGTCCTCGTTCCCGTAAAACGATGCAGAAATGTAATTACGAGAGCGATGACGTCATCAGGATGACGATATGAACCGCGGATACACAGGTCTGAAATGCATACAGCGTAGCACCCACGCGCGACCAATGGCGTGCACACGACTTATTGCTCTGTAGTTAGAACGTGTACCGATCGTGTATAGACGTACGCGTACATATATATCGTAAAATAAAGTGGCTGTACTACCTTGCGCCGGAACACGCGGAGGTATCAGCCACGATCTCGCCGTGATGTCGGTCACCGTGACAAGACGTATAGTCGGTCGGTGAGCCTTCACTGGTTCCTCGAAGCTTGGTACTCCTCACTTGTGGTTCCGTACAGAAAGTGGTTGTTGAATGGAATCAAGTATATATATATATATATATATATATCTGTGTATATATATATATATTCTCACCAAGAATCTCACTGTACTGTTCCGGTCGATCTCGCGGATACAACACAAAACCACGAAAAACTTGTTCTCACTTTAAAAACGCTGCTGGCCCGGATGCTCGCTGACCCGCTCCACTGTTCCAACTCATAATCAGCTTGCCCGATATTCTCGCGAGTACTTCGTTTTGTCTGTTTCCTCTCAATACACGTTATCAATACTCGCTCGCGCCTTCCTCTTAAAACAAGAACCGCTGCTACGTTAACCACGCGCGACTGGACGACGATTACGAGAGCAATAACGACGACGTACTGCGTGTGCGACGATGACGACGGCAGTAGCAGTAGCGGCGACAGCGACGGCGGCAGCGGCGGTGGCGGCGGCGGCAATGGCGACGACGAACGACGACGGACGACGTCAGAGGGACCGGCTGATGGAACGGGGTAAATATATGCAACTGACGGAAGCCTCGATGCGATTTTGTAAGAGGGTGAAAAGGTAAGGCGAGCGATGCTGGTTAGGCGACGGGATTGCGACTGCTTGCTGCTTGCTTGGCTAGCCGCTAGCGGGGGCCTGGCGCGACACCGACTGTCCGACACCAGCGCCCCCTTTATCCCTCCTTTTGCCATTCATACTCCCCTTTCTCCCCACCGCCCTCGTCGCAGCCCCTCGACTCCCCGCCTTCAACCATCCTTACTCTTTACCCTAGCCGCACTCATACCAACCTATTTCACCTATTTCCTTCTCGTTTTTTCTCTGCTCCAACCTCCCCTTCTTTCCATTCGTTCTTTCTCTATTCCCCTCCATCTATCTCACTTAGTCACACCTACGATCCCTCGATTCACTCGATGACATGGTACTCTCTCTCTTTGGCCAACGTTTCATACCGTTCCCTTCCTTATTTGATATAGAGCTTTCATGCTTCTCTCTTTCTATCATCTATCGCGCAACTATGCACCCTCTCGCTAATTCGAACCCTGTCCGTCTCTCTTTCTCTCTTACGTTTATGTATACCGCTTTCGCGTCGGTAGTTTAGCTCTGTCTCTCTTCTATTCCCCCTCCACTACTCCGTGCGTCGTATGTACGAGCCTATCGTGACGCACACCGTCATACGTTCTCTTCTTCTCTCTTCGATCATCGCGAGTCTACTCTTCTCTTGCTTTCCCCGACTACGAGGAGCCAGAATCCCCTCCCCCGCATAATATCAACCGCCCGTCTCACCCCTCGCTGCACCCATGCGACCATATACCATGCCACGTCGCCGTCACCGCCACCACCGCCGACGATGAGGCACCAAACGCCCCTCTCCGTGGCTCAATAAGCGTACACGGCGCGCATGCGCCGATCTAGTCCCCACCACCCACACCATCGTACAGCGTCTGTCTCATTTTATCTTTCGCCGCCTGGCGACTCCACCAGCCTCTGCTTACCTTGTTGGAGAACCGGCACAGGTTAGGTTGGTCGCGCATCACCCGTTGACTATCACGCTTGTGGGTGGAAGAGGTTTAGTCAATCTCTCTTTCTCCCTTTTTCTTCGCCCCCTCTCGGTCCCTGCTCCTAGGAAGCAGAACTTGCAGCGCGTGTGTATACCATACAGCGGCGTAATCTTGTTTCTCCATGCGTTCACGCGCTACAGAAAAGACGCAAAGGGCGGGAGGGAAGAAAGGAGGAATGGAACCGAGGGAAATTCTTTATACTCAACGCCGATGGCCCTTGTACGTGCCGCGACGCGCGACGACTGATACGGGGATGAAACAGAACCACGATAGGCATAGTATTCGCGCGAGTACAATGAGTGTAGGTGATGGTGAGGAGCCGTAAATGAGGCAAGGTCGTAGACGGAAGCGTATTCTGATTGCTGGGTCAAGTAGTTCTGAAGCGTATGGAACTCATTGTACTACCTTGCTCACCGTTGTATCCAGTATCTCCGTTTTCAATTATTTCTTTTCTATTCATTAGTTTTTTTAAAGAAATTTCTATCCTTAATACGTTTTCACCAAAAGACCCATTTATTAGATTTCCAAACCGATTAGAATCCAGTACACAAATAATTTTATATCACGAGACATATCGGGCCTCTTGCACCTGTTAGAAGTCAAACTGATCAATTTCACTTTTTATCTACTATTCGTCTTATAATTAGTATTCTTCACGTGTTTATTCTTAAGCCAGTTCACATCATTTATATCCAGAAAAATTTCAAAAACAATGTTTATAACTTCGTCAACCATGTTTACCTTTTGGTTTATGCAGGTGATCAATATGCCCACACAAATGTTCGTTTGTTCATTTTTATTCGTATTATTAACAATGTCCCGAAACAAATCTATTTTTGGCAAGAAACTTTTCGGAAAGTGCGTTTAACTCTTACCACAAATATAAAATGTCCCGAAAAAACCGGCTGCTTTGTGTACCAAAACCTTCGATGGCTTATATATTTAATTTATTCCAGAACCGGTCTGGATGTTTCGTTTACGGATCGATCCGCCGTCGTAATATCTCCGCGGGATCACTTTTACGCATCACGGTTGATCACCCGTGAGATACTAAGCGAAAACGTTAATCGGGGAACCGTTTCGCGAATTTTCGAGCTAAAAAAGGGAGGGCAGCGAACTTATGGTGCGTACTGTACACCTGCTTAATCTCGATCCCCGGGTATATACGCGGGGATGGGGGTGAATGGGGGAATGGGGCGAAGTGACAGTGTGCGAGGGAGGCAACGAATGAGATCCGTAGAAAATTCTTTATACCCACGCCGATGGTCTCCGCGCGCCACGGTTCGCAGCAGGAAAAGATCCCGGTGCCCGATACCGAAGGACCGTGCATATCGTTTGCACGAATATCTCTGCCGTACGTTGTGCTGTACATTGTATGTACGTATGTGCAGACTTATCGCGGCCCATTGTTACGACTCGTTCCTTTTGCTATACTTTTCATTTTGTATTTTGATTTACCAGCCCCGATACCGAAAGAGAACCAACGAGACCACGTCCGTAAAGGATTTTATTTCAACGGTCGACGAGACGTCTAGATCGCGGACGTTTATGATAAATCGCACCTTTGTAGAGTAATTTCGAGAAATTGATATTGAAAAAAATCTGATTTTGTTCGTCAACGTACACACTGTTGGCCACCGGCAGCCGGTAACAGAACTTTTCGTTTACGGCTACGTCGACGACCAGTGACCGTCGTGTAATAAGGAATTCAAATGTGAAACGATACAATCAGCGTGAACGGAAAGCCAGCTGAAATGGGCACTGCGGTGTCAACGTGTCAACACTGTGACGACTGATGACGGCGATGACTCCACTGTGGCGTCATCTGAGCGCCAACTGATGCATCTCACAATCAGATATACAAAGTTATTGATTTGTTTTTTACCTAACAAAAATCATACTTTGTTAATTCTCGACGAAAACAGCCGACCACTGGTGTAAGTTACTCGCGAAGCCAGCCGGTCGTCATAGTGGTAAGGGATTTATCTGTACTTATGGATATAAAAAATTACTTACGAGGTATAAGCCAGACAGAAAGTTAGTTTGCAGCGTACGTAAGATGAACAGGTTAAGATTGATCTATAAACATAATTATACTCTTCAAAGGATACAAATAAAGTTTATGTTATACAGTAGAATGGACTTCTCTTTAGCCGACCCCCATGGGAGCGAACAATAACATAATCGAATAGCTGAATGGCCGGTTAATTCGAAAGGACTGAGATTATGTGTGCGTATACAGGGTGTCCCGTTTTAACATTTACACAATTATCTCCCGAATTATTCATTACATCAAAGAATGTTTTAAGTAGAACTTACTTTGTTTCAAGGGGGACATCTTATGATACATACGTATGTAGTCACAACGCTTATTTAAGTGGACGTGCCTTCGAAATTTCAAGTTAATCTTTGTTTTTTAAATGTACCTGTTTTCATTTAGGTAGGCGTGTATATTGTAACGTATGTATATATTGTGACGTACATATATGTATATTGGTCTTTCAAAGTCATTCAAAGTCATTTAGTACCGTTCAAAACTTACCTTTGTTGAACGTTCACAAGGTTTCTTTTACCGAAGTATTTCGTCGACTCTCCCGTAAAAGTCGTTACTTGTGTGTACTTGTTTAAATATTTTAAACACCGATTTTTTTACGCCGAAAAAGTTACAAAAACTGCAGGAAATACGTGTTTTTGATTTTACGCGACTGCCATTACGCAGACAAAACATTTTTTTATGATCGTGATAAGGGCGATAGCAACACTCATAAGAATTAAAAAAACGCTTGGATCAATTTCTACAAGCTAATAGGAAACCACCAACCTTGGAATAAAGTTGGGCACAATTTTATTCAAATAATACATACTGAAAAGCACCGGTATCTAAAAGCGTCATTCTAACCTTTAAACAGTTAATGACATTAAATAATTGTTTGTCGAGTGCCTATTCATTAAAAAAAAAGTTATTATTTCTAATTAATAAAAAATGTGGAAGTACATTTTTATCTTTTATTCGTTACTCGAAACTCTGTCTAATTAGATAATGAATTTGCCCATCTTTGCCTGGAAACAAATCAGCAAGTATGTTGGCTAAAAAATTCAGATTACGTCGCACGGCCACACGGTTTATAACTTATTCATTTGTATTTATTATTAATTTTAAACAGCCAAACGACGAATAAATGTAGATACAAAGCACCAATATTGTAACTTTCTTTGTCGCCTAGAATAGAAATCATAAAATCCGCTGAAAAATCACGCCGTCTAAATAATTAACCTAACCCAGACCCTCTTAACGGATCAAAGTGCACGAACATTTTATATCGAATTCTCGTTTGCGTATACTGGCGTCTGTTATAAATGCAGAAAATCCGTGGTCCAGCCGTGTCCGATAATTCCATGGTGATGACGCCCGAGTCATTTAACCGTGTGCGTCACCATCTGTAAATTGTAGAGGGAGAATCGTGGTGAAAGTTTTTGCAAAATGATCAAATGATTCCCGTAACAAGTCCGAAAGCGTTTCGATTAACTTCAGCCAGCATTATGGGCAACGCCTGTTTCAAACTCTTTCTTCAGGGATTCTCGATACGAACGCCGGAAGCGGAAGTACACCATTCTCGCCTCGCTGACTCTGATAAGCGGAGCAACTGTTACCTATACATAAATGTACTTTCCGTTTCCAAAATACTTGCAACCTGTTGCACCGGTGCCCGCGTATATCAATGTAAAATTATGTTATCTATCATTCGGATCTGTCATTCGTAATCTCATTGTGATTTTTTGTAATCCTAAGGAACCATAAGCTATATTATCTCTGCAATTTATGTTATTTCAGTAATTTATTATGGGAAAATTTTGTCTACTCTTTGGATTT